CTATTAAAAATTGATTGTTCTAAGGCCAAATCAAGATGTATAATTCTGTTCCTGTACAAGAAGCAGTTATCTTTTTATGTGTAAAATTAGGTGCCATGTGTATTCATTGTAATTTCTCCTTAAGAGGAATTAAAGTGTACCATATCACTAAGGCAATGTTTGGAAACATTGCTGTTGGCATATTTATTGAACAGGCTAAACAATCCAGGTTAGGTAGATGTACTGCCATGTCCTTTAATCATTATAGAGCTGCATCTCCTGCTGCATTTGTTGTTTGTCATTCATAGATTTTTGAAGCAGTATGCGTAATGTGTAAAACAAAGAAATTTATGATAAAGTGACAGGGTAGATGTGATTCTTTTTTACTGAACAGTGCTGATGTTATGTGACCCAGTTGTAAGTCTTATGCATTCTTTCCTTTGTAAATTAACTTGAGAGGTTCATCATCATCACTACGAAAGTTGTTCATATGGAAGTTATAATGTTTATAACGACATATAATACAGTATTTGTAGTCTGTTATAATTTATGTTGCCTGATTACTGTTAATACTTCAATAATTTTTTGTTTTTGCTGTGCATGAATTTTGCTGTAAATACTGTACATACTACTGATAAGCTAAAACTCTTTTATATTATGAATCCATGTTACCAATCTTTAAAATAGGGTATGTTGTGGAGAATGTTAATTGTAATTTAGATAAGTGTGCAAGATTTTAACTTTTATATACCCTGTGATGTAGTTGCTTTCTGTTTTAGGGCTTCATTGTTCTACTTTTAATTTGTTTATATATTTTTTCTCTTGTTAGTTACACATGATTAGTGTATTTATACAGAAATGACTGTACATGCAACTAGGTATAACTGAATAGTGGTAAAACACCCAACAATGAAGTTTTCAAATAAAGAAGGATCTTACCTAGAACTAAATTTACCTATTTGTACCCCATGTGTTCCTTCAGTAAGAAAAAAAAGGTGTTTTTTTGTTGTAAAACATTTAACGCTCTATAGTTACGTCTCTATTAATGAACATATTGGCTTCTTCAGTGTCATTTTATTTCATAAAGAACTTTCTTTAAAAAAGAAATACCTTAACAGTTGTATTTATCAAAATGATTGTTTCTCCTTTTTTAATTTTTCCAATTTTGCTCAACCTTGGTAATTAATTTTCCGTCTCATTGTAGCAGAGCGAAAAAGTGATATTTTTGCAGAGGGAGAACGTATGTGTGGTGAGAGACCACCACCGCCGGAAGCAATACTTAAAAGTAGTTATAATAAGTAAATTCTTTATGCGCAATTACTCCGTGAAATGCCTTGTGTAAAAGAACTGTGGGCCACCCTTTCTTAGAACTGGCTAATGTAGCAAACATTATTTGGACAAAGTGTCTTTTTTCAAAGATACGTAAATGAAAAGGGCCTTTGAAGTAGAATTCCTCTTTGTAAAGAAAAAGGAGTACCTAACGATTTACTGTGTATAGACAACTAGTGTAGTAAAAAATTGTGCTATATGCCATCCTTAGCACTATGTGTTTGTAAATGCTGTTATCGGAATTACTTGGATGCCTATTAAATAATAGATCCAGTCATTTAAAAAAATAATCTGTTCATTTTAAAATATTCCCATTCCAAGAACTAGAAAATCTGTCTGCAAGTCGGCTGTGATTGAAGGAAGAGAGGGAAATTTGTTCCCTGAGTGCCAACAGGGACCAAAGTTATCACCAGAGGCCCGCACTAAACAATTCAGCGATGTACAACTAGACACTGAGGTTACTCAGATTCATTCGACAAATGGCGAGGGCCCGGCGCCTGCGAGACTCGGGGTAGGCCATCCCGCAGTGCACGCATGCACTAAATGCAAGATGTTGCATACCCACCAGGCGCTATGAGGGCCTGCAGGGTTTAACTTGATAGTTTCGTAGCGTCGAATGACGAACGTACTTTCTGGAAGTGCACGTAGGAAAGGCAGGAGACATGACGGGAAGGAGACGAGTAGTGAAGGAATGACGAACGGAGAGACAAGGAATGGAGGAGGGATAGAGAGAGGGGAGAGAGAGGGGGACTATCACGAGGCAGGTGGAAGGCGCCAGTTTGAGCAGCATGGAGTGTGGCCGCCGAGCCGCCCTGGAGAGCAACCCTTTATTGAAACAAAAACGGATTCAACCATTTATGTTAAGTCCTGAAGCTTATTTTATTCCCCTACAATTGTAAACATAGTGGCCAGAACACACTCCCGTGGTTTGTTAGACAGTTGACGCGTTTAAACAGTACTGACCCACCACAGGTCATGGAGCTCCTTTAAAGCCAGATTCCTAGGTCTTATAAACGCACCCACCACCACTGCCAGGAACTAGGGAACTCCCCTCGGAACTCCCACGGCCAGCTTCGGCGTCAGTCGAACCCCGGTCCCAAAGCCGAGTCATTGTCACCTTAGACGCAGTGACACCAGGATGGTAACCACTACGCCGTCGGAATTTCACGACGGGGACCTGGTGAAATGACGGGCTTGAAGTCCACTTAAAATTTGGTTGCCTGAGAAAGATTTCGGATCGATGGAGATTCGAACCACCGATCTCCCACGCTCTGGGCGGGCACGCTACCAAGTAAGCCATGGTGGCGAGACATGAGCTAACGCTCCAGGGGACGAGCCATTCTACGAGGTCGCTAACTTAAAAAACATTCTTCTAAAGATTTTTTTTGTCGCGCAACATACACCTATTTGTGCCTTTTGAAGTGCTGGAAACAACATATCAAAAGATGGCAAAACAAGCCTGGACGGGTGGCTCAAAGTGTCGCTATCCCAGCGACTAAGTCCGTCTAACCTGCCTCAGTTATCTGGTTCGAATGCCGAGTGTTTCGAACTACTTCCCTATTTTCGGCCTTCAGGTAGCATTAACGGGAGAGAAAAATTGCAATTGATCTTTGAAAGCGGCCGGGGAAGCGGCAGTCCCCGAGCGATCGCCGAAGTCGCAAACGAATCCACGATAGTCCCTTCCTATTCTGTTGTGCAGTGCACCTCACTTAGCTCCAACAGTCCAAGAAGCTGGAAAACAGTCCACGAAGGTGCAACAGTTCATAAAACTGCAACATATTACGTGGAGCAACCACTGCCCGCCACACACAAGCGCCCGTGTGGCGCTGAGCTACAGGGAAAAGAGAGAGAGAGAGGGGGGGGGGGGCTCCCCCTACCCCCGACAGTCTTGTAGAAGTGGCCTCTTCGGGAACGTCTGAAAAGTTGATGGTTTAGCCTCCTATGCGGTAGGCAAGAAGTGGCCAGCACATGCGTGTCGTGGGTGTGGCCTACCCCGAACTCGTCAGGGGATCCTTTTCCTCCTAATCTGGAGCCGGGTGCTTGCACTGCCCCGGCAGCCCCAGGCGGCCTCCCTGACTCCCAAACAATAACTCGCGTAACTTTATGATTTGACCCACGGTGGGCACGGGGAGGTACAGCTGTATCTTGGCCGGAGGGCCGGGTGGCAAATGGCCCGAGGGCGGGCGGGGCGGGGCCAGGGCCGGGGCCGGAGCCGGTGGCTGGAAGTGCGTAGAGAGCAGGACAGACCGCAACGGGTTAATAGAGGTGCTGGACCATTCCGTTGCTTGGGTCCCGCCCGGGCCGCCGTGTGAGCATATGTGCAGCCCTCCCCTCCCCGCCCCGCCCCACAGCACGTCCGTTCGAATCGTACATGCCCGACATAATTTTCCGCTCTGCTTCTGCGGCTGGCGCCACGGGTCCCCGGGTCCGTTGTGTTTGGGTAGGGAGCGGGTCCTCCCCGCGCACTCTCGGCGAATGGCCTCTCATTTCCCCAGCCATTTAACAGAGAGGGACCCCGAAGGGAAGAGGCCCAGCGGCCAGCGCGCGGGGACGACCCTAAAAGGCGCTGACCCCTCCGCGCTGCCCGCGGGTCCGGGATGAGACCCGGCCGCCCATCGCCATCCTGACCCACTATGGGTCCGCGTTGGCGGGTCCCCGGAACCCACCCTCCGTGACACGTGGTTCACGGTACAATCGTCCTCCGGGTCCAGGTCCAGGGCCTCGTCTGCCCCTCACAGCCTAGGGGTTTCTGCTGGACGCAGGTGGACTGCTCCTCCGACGTCTTACGTTCCCGCCCATCTGCTTGCTTACGGACCAGGCCGGGGACGCACACCCGAAGCAACAATATGGGGCGCTGTGTGTACATGTGCACGCTCGCTACAATGTGCGAGGATGTGTGTGCGTATGTTTTCTCGTTTTGCTGCCGTCACTTGCCCTCCACTCGTCCACTAGCCGCAATGTCCACCTGCGCTCACCCCCTCCCCCCTTTTCCCTCTGCCATGGGCATTGCGCGATATTGCGTTTCACCTCCCAGATTTCAAGTCGGCGCCCCTCTCCACGCGTCTCGCATTTCACTCACGTCCTATGGGAGGGCCGCTGCGCCCCCCGCCCCGCCGCATGGTCAGTGCAGTATTGAGTGAATG